GGTGTCACTGGAAGCTCAAAACATGTCTCAAAGCAAAGATTAGGAGCAACACCGTGATCGAACTGCACCATAGAAAAGTCTTTTTCTTCTCCACAAATATCATGAACATTCACAACCTCTCCTCCAGACTCTGTATCACTCTCCATGAAGGCATCCCAACTCTCGTTAATACCTAAACCTACCTCAGTAGCACAATCATCAAGACTGATCTTCTCCTTGCCCTCCTCAGGTGTTGAGACTAATTGTAAATAAAACGGCTGGGGTGTTTCTGTATGAAGATCACAGAGATTTGTGACTTCATCAGTTACAAATTGTACCGTTTCAAACTTTTTCCTGTATTCTTGGAAAAACAACTTCACACTATTATCTTCTTCTTCATCTTCAAACATAGGAGGGTCTTCAAAAGCATCAGGAAGTGTATCATCCATCATATTTCCACCATCATAGTCTGACTCAATCCCATGATCATCCCTATTGGTCTCCTCAGATTGGGCTTCTGTGTCGCTAGGATGAGATCTCTCGGACTCCTCAGATATGGCATTAAACAGCTGATCCAAGTGATTTTCCATGTTCTGCATCCTTGCATTTGCTTGTTGATTATTTACCTCAGAAGCTTGTATGAATTGCTTGAGTGTTTCTTCCAGGTCAGACAGCTTCTCTGAAATTATCTCTTCCCATTCGTCGTCTGAATCGTGTGGCTCATAGCTCGGCAAAGACGTAGGAGTGATTGAAACATTTGTGTTTGTAAGTTGTGGGGAGGACGAAGTGGGGTATGCAGTTGCCCAGTAAGGATGGTCGTATGGAGGAATGGGGCAAAGACATGAATGGTGACCACCTCCACAGAAGTTACAAATGCTATTTTTAGGAAAGTAATCAACCAATTCCTCGGGACTTTTAGTTTGAATAAGGAATTCCATAATAGAGCCTGGTTTTGTCCGAGGATATTGTGGATAAGGATACTTATTAGGAGAATGAGATTGGGAGTATTGCGTATTTGGAAGAGGGTAAGAATAGGAAGATGGAAACTTTTGTGGTGTTGGAGAATAATTTTGATAAGGTGAGTAATATTGAGGAGGAGGAGGAGGAGGAGGAGGAGTGTAAGGAGGGTATGGCGTATATGGTGAATATTCCATGGAGGTTTGAGGGTAAGGAATTCCTCCAGGAATTTGGCTGAATAGGTTCATCTCATGCCTCTTAAAAAAATACCTGAAAGGTTAACAAAGAAAAATCCTACGGAAAACAAAAAGAAAACTAACTAAAAAAAATCTCGCTGAAATTAATTAACCCTTAAAACCGACACCGTCCCCGGCAACGGCGCCAAAAACTGATGTGTGTTTTCTCGCACTTAAAATAGTTGTAGAAAAGTGGTTGAAAGTACGAGTATCGTCTCCACAGGGACGGACAAAAGGGAAATAAAGATTAACTAAATTCAGCGATTAAACAGAAATAAATAAATTAAAATGCGATGTGCGAGATTGGTTGGTTGAATTAAAATTAAAACTAATGCTAATGAGCGATAAAAATAAAAGATTGGTTTCTTCTCAATTAACGACGAAGGGAACAGGGATTGATTCCGGGGTAACCAGATTTCTGGCAGATCAGGCTTAATTACATGAATTTAATTTAATTGAGCCTAGCTAATCATTACTAAGTTCTTACCGCTCTCGCGGCATAGAGTACAATAATTTAGGGGACCAGGCTGATCTCTCATGCGACAGGATCCTAAATTATTGCCAAGACGAGCGAGCTTACGGCCCCTTAATCGCTACTAATCTCTTAGCGAACGATTAAGTGTGTGTGAATGTGTCCTAGAACAAATTAGATCTCTCTTAATTTATTCTACATGCAATTGTAAATCTAGCTGCAGTCTAGGTTACAAGAGATATCAACTAAATTATTCAAACACAAATTAAACGGCATTCATGCAATTAAACCGACAAGAATCTAGCCATCAATCATGATTAACCCCTTCATCAACTCCAAATCCCTAATTAAACTACTCACAATTCATAATTGAAGAATCAACAGAATTGAGATGAATAGAATTAATTGTCATTAATTAAAAAGATGAACTTACAAATAATCCCAGGGTCTTGGAAGAAAACAGCGTAAAAACGGTGTTAAATTCGTCTCTAGGCCTCTCCGTAATGTTCGTAACGTCAAAATATGGGTATGGGGGTCTTATTTATAGAAAACAGATAAGTTTGGGCTGAACTGGGACTAAAAAAGGGCTGAAATCCGCGTCTTGGGTGTACGCACGATCGTGCGTACCTTGACACGCACGATCGTGCGTACCTTGCCACGCACGATCGTGCGTAGCAGGCAGATTAGTTGCCGCGTTGTTGGCTCTTACGCACGATCGTGCGTCCTTTTACGCACGGTCGTGCGTCCGTGCTCTTCAGCCTTTTTTCTAGTCCGAATTTGACAAAACTTACTTAATGACAGTTGTAGATAATGAAGTCCTCTATCCACCCCAACTTGCCGAATGTGATTTGAATCATCCAATCAAGAGATATGACCAAAATGGTGGAAGGTGTCATTCTGAAATCGCAGCAGAAATCATCTGAGTTCATCATCTGTTTTCACCTTGATCCTCTCGGATCCTCGGAACGATGTCTTCATATGATTTCTAGCCCTTGAAGTTGGCTTTCATATGCAACTTGAATCGTGTTCATTGGTTGTTCCTACAAAGAGATAAGCTTGAACGATTGACAGAAGGTCATTCTGATCGTCGTTTTCAAGCTTCATTCATCTTCTTTTGATCCCGAAGCCAATCCTAGAGCTCTTTTTTCTTCAAATCTTCATTGTGAATCTTCAAATACGGACTTATCACACTCAAAGATAGGAGTTTCACATATGTTCTAAAAATCGTTCTAAGCGCTCGACTAGTCCCCGCCTAGGTGCTAGGCGGTGGTCGGGCGCCCCGATTTTCGTCTTGGCACTCCGACTAATTGATTTGTTGTCTTGGTGAATTAGTCAGCCGCCTATGGCGCCTAGTTGCCCGCCCATAGCGCCTAATCGACCACCTAAGCAGTCTAGATTCGCCGAACATGACAATAATTTTAATTTTCCAAGCAATATAAGTACTTAACTTTAGCCCTGAATATAAAGAAATGAAGTTGTAAATTAAGATAAAGACTATACATGTTTGTATATATACTTAAACTTTATTATTATTTATATTTATAACATAATGATGTTAAGTGATTAGTTATCATATACTCCACTACGTATGATTAAATGTGATAATTCTATCATTCATGTTTGTTAATGTATGTTTATATAAGTATTTAATACACACAAGAATACAATATTACTTATCATATTTATGCAAAAAAAAAATAGATAAAAACAAAAATCCCATGTCTCCGACTAGTCCCCGACTAGGCGCCCGCCTAGCCGCCTAGGCGCTAGGCTGGCACCCGACTAGTACCTTTTAGAACATAAAGTGTCACCAAACAGGCTCTTAATAGGGAAAATTAATAAAAATACTCATAACTTTAAAGAGGTGTGAAGTAAGCACTCCAAACTCGAATTTGTAATTTAAATACACTAAACTTTATATAAAAAGTTATTTTCGCACCATTTTCATGTATTATTTATTTCAAAAATGTAAATTTATGAGGTTAAAATAGAAAAGTAAAAGTTTTACAATTATATAGATTGGGATAATGGTATTTAATATTTATTTCGCAATGGAAGCTTAGAATGCTAACCGTGCCTTCATGAATTCTAAAATATTTTAAATTATATAATTAACACCATAAATTTACATTTTGAAAGAAATAATACTTTACTATGGTGCTAAAATAACTTTTATATAAAGTTTAGGCTATTTAAATTGCATATGTACATTTGGGCTGCTCATCTCACACCCTTCAAGTTTGGGGTATTTTAATTATTTTTCCCTATTTAATATTATTAATGGGAAAAATGATTTAAATATCCCAAACTTTGAAAAATGTGTGATAAGCACCCCCAAACTTGTACATGTAATATATATATATATATGCTCCAAACTTTTATGTAAAAAGTCATGTTAGCACTATGATCATATATATTTTTTTCACAAATATAATTTTATGGTGTTAAGTGCATATATAAAATATATAAAACACTTATGATGATGCAATTTAAAACAAATTGTATTATATATAATATATAATTGCATCCTAACAAAGTTTAAAGCATTTTAAATTATGTAATTTTTCTAATAAGTTTATACTCCGTATTAAAGAAACACAATCATTGTGTGAGAATAACTTTTTTAGATAAAGTTTGAGGTATACATATACAATTTTTGGGTACTTATGAAATGTATGAAGTTCTGTCTGGAGTGGCTGTTTTGGCTGATTCTGCTTATTTAAGGAAAAATTAATTTTTAAATATATGTTATTAATAAAATAAAGAAGAAATTATATGTAAAAATAGCTAAAATAGTCATCTACAGTACCTTCAGCCAATACCGCCAGAAAAGTAACTTCAACCTTACTTTTTCTACTTATTACACAATTCAGCGCACGAAAGCAAAAATTATGTGTTTAGTGAAAAAGTTGGTTGATTAGCCGAAAAACAGTGTTGCCAAACGGGCTCATAAATTGATAACAACAATATTAATAATACTATAAGTAAAAAAATCAGGTGTGAACTTTTTTATCTGATCTGAATGTTTCCGATTTAATCTAGATGTATTTCATATGAGTCAATTTGATCTGATATCAGTTTTTCTGAACTAGTTAAATCTGATAAGAATTATTTTTGTTCTGATCTAAATAAATTAAAAATAAGATTAAAAAAAAAAAGAGATCCTCAATACTCCGTATAACATACGTAGTACTCCGTAATTTTAATAGCACCAGCATTATGACAATTAATCCAAAAAAAAGAGAGTCATAAAACCAGGATTGTAATAGCTGTTGGTTACTATACCGTAATTTTAAACTCTCCTCTCTACATACTTAGTATAAGAGAGTCCTATCTACCCAACTGCACACTAGGCAGTAGGCGGCAGTCCATCTTACATTTATTTGTCAAAGAGTCTACACCCTTCGTTGCAGACTTAGGAGAGAGGGATGGAAACGCTACTGTTTTCGGCCATGGAAGGAAAGAAGATGGGAAGTGAATTACTACTGCTATCCTTGAGCCTTTCAATCGAAAGTACTCAGAGGAACGTCCACAAATGGTGCACTCTGTTGTCCAACGGTAAGAGGACCTTGTTCCTTTTCCTTTATAATGAGGCCTGATTTTCTCATTTCATCTCATCTACTCCGTAACGTATATTCTTTCATCTTCTAATTTTTTATTTGAAACATGAGTGGAAAGACTAAGAGTGGTGATGATTTTCCTACTGTAGCCTTTGTCCTAACAACCTGTTTATTTCTGTTGGGCTTTTTTGCTGCGTGTGCGTTGAAATGGGAGGATGTTATGAACAAGAACACTTTTCTCTTAACAACCTGGGGCATTGTATGGGGACTGGCATCTGCTTATGATGCCATGAGCCTACATACCGGGCGTAAGTATGTGATCGTAGCCCACATTGCTCTGAATGCTATAGGGTGTGTTTACTGGGGCGGGAGAATTTATTTTCGTCGCTGTTGAGGATCGATTCCGTCGCCGGATTCCGGCTCAGGCAGTCCGGAGCTCGGTTTCCGATTGTCTCTTGTGCACACCTAGTCTAAGGGAGCAACACACCTTTCTAACCTCGCCAACACTCACACTAACCTCACTAAGAAGGACTCTCACCTCACAAAGAAGGATAATAGCTTCACTCACCAAGAGGAAGATGAAGGGGGAAACACTCTGAGTTTCACACACAGAACAAAGGGGCAGTGAGTGTCCTTATAGCAGGGAAGCATTTGGCTTTATTAGAAGGGCTCTCAAATAATACACTGCACACACAGCTCACCAATAGCTCAACAAGAGCTGAATTATTTTCTAACGGGAGGGGAAAATACTGATTGGCCAGATAGATAAATGAGTACAGTGTAGTGGGCTGCTAGAAGGTGTGTTGACCATTATTAATATACAAAAAACGTTTGGGCCAACAATATATTAACAATCTCCACCTTTGGCCCAAGGTAGTGCACTTAGACAATCACGGAACCGCGGACTCATCATTGCCGGATCATTACAAGTATAATCACAAAGACAATACAAGTAATAGAGAGACACAAGTACTCTCGGGGTAAAATCACCAAGCTTACCGAGTCCATAAAGGACTTAACTCTACCATAAGGTCCTCGAGTTCAAAACCGAAACCATCACAATGCTATTAACAAACACAAGGTATGTTAATAGCCCACGCAAGCAAGCATCCGGGAGAAGTTGGGGATCCCAACTAATCCAACAACCACACAAAGCAAGTACACAAAAAATAAAAGAAACAATATTATTTCTATAACTAGCACAGGTAGAGCTCACATAATCACTTGGTATCTCATTTTCAAAACACAAAGAAAATAGCATACCAAATATCACAAAGATTTTAATTAAAAAAGAATTAAGCACATTTAAAGCAGACTCAGAGGAAATATAGTCAAACACATTGCACATATTATTTCTCACATGCTTCCTAATGTCTCTATCTCTAATAACATGGCAATCACGCAACTCAAGCATATTGCACACAACATTCATATCATGCTCCACCTTAATAGAAATATTCTTTTCTTTATTTTCACCATGAAAATCATTTTCATCCACAAATTTGGGTTCGGTTTCAACAAGTAAATCAGAATGAACATCAGGCAAATGCTCCACCTCATTTGGAGCAACATCAGGAGAAACAAGTAGGCAAGGAAATTCATTTTCAACAAAAATGACATTTCTACTCATCAACACATTGAAGCAAGTTTCACTCCTACACCAAAACCTATAACCTTTCATGCAATCATGATATCCTAAGAAAACATATTCCTTAGTCCTAGGTTCAAATTTATCATTCACACGATTCACATAAGCAGCACAACCAAACACTCTCAAATTTGGCAAGTTAAGTGGTTTGCCCATGAACACAGATTCAGGGCATTTCCCTCCTAAGGGAACAGACGGGGACAGATTAATCAAATCAACAGCATAACAAATAGCTTCCCCCCAGAACTTATTAGAGAGCCCAGATGAAGCTAACATAGCCCTCACCCTCTCTAATAAAGTTCTAACCATCCTCTCAGCAACCCCATCCGGTTGGGGTGTGGAGGGAACATATTTATGCATAGAAATACCCCAAGTATCACATAAATCTCCAAGCTGATCATCACAGAAATCAAAACTGACAGTGGTCCTTAAAAAATTTATTTTCTTACCGGTTTGTTTTTCAACAAGGGTTTTCCAGTTTTTAAACTTATCAAAAACTTCAGATTTATTCTCAATCAACAAAACCCACACTTTCTTTGAAAAATCATCAATCAACGTCAGAAAATAATTTTTCCCACCATAAGTGGAAACACTATAAGGACCCCACAAGTCAGCATGAATACAATCAAGCACATTAGTACACTTAGGCAGATCAGGAAAACCAACTCTAGACTGTTTTCCTAGCACACAGGGTTGCACACAATTCACAGAATCAAGTATGGGTTCAGCATGACAAACATACAAGTTGTTTTTCATCTCAGCTTTGAAAACAACTAAACAACCCTTCACAACTTTCATGATTCCCTTTCCCCATTTTCCCTTCAAACCATCATTTTCAAGAGATGCACAAGATAGCAAATTACAACACAGCTCAGGAACATGCCTAACATTCTTCAAAGTAAGCACATAACCAGAAGAAAACCTAAAGCATACATCTCCTATTCCTAGCACATTGCATTTCTTCTCATTTGCTAAAGACACAAAGCCATGCTCAATCTCTCTATAGTTTGAGAAAACATTTTTCAAAGGGGACATGTGAAAACTACAACCAGAATCTACCACCCAATCTGATTTACCCAAAGAATCAGATATCACTGAACTCAAATAGTCATAATCACATAGATTTTTCATCATAAAAACATCACCTAAATCATCTACACACGTAGTCAAATTAGCATTCTCACTATGCTCATTTTTCCTAGATTTAGGACAGTCTCTTATGAAATGACCAGATTCGTGACAATAATAGCAACGCCTCGAACTAGACCTAGACTTAGATCTATGTCGTCTACTATTATTTTCTCTACCCCTCACATGCATAACTTCCTCGGATTTTCTACCCTCACCCATCTGTTTTAAATCTAATTCCTTACTCTTAAGACCATTTACCACAATGTCAAGAGTCACATTATCTCTACCATACTTAATAGCAGATTTCACATCACTGAAGGAATCAGGAATAGCATTTAAAAGAGCAATAGGGGAATAATCATCTATATGTTTATCACCACACAACTTAATATCCGAAATAAGTTTGGTAAAAACATCTAGATTTTCTTCAATATCTATAGACATATCTAGTCTAAATTTGAAGAACTTTTCAAGTAAAAATATCCGGTTAGGCAAAGAGGTCTCAGTATACAGTTCATTCAATTTATTCCACAGAATTTTAGCACTCTCTAAAATTCCAACTTTTCTAATCACAGAGTCAGATAAGTTCAAATAAATCACAGAACATGCATTTTCATTCATTTCAACCCTTTTATCTTCCGTGTCAGAAATTAAATAGGTTTCGCCAACTGCTTTAAAACATTTTTGTTGTATTAAAATACATTTAATTTTTTGCTTCCAAATGCTAAAATCAGATTTTCCATTAAATGGAGCCATACCATACTGATTATAAGCAGACATTTTCACAGAGAAAAAATAAGCAACAAAAGAAAATGTAAATTTCGCTGAAAACAATTTAAATATTTATAAGGCTACAACTATACGGAGCAACTAGCACGAACACGCGGGGAGTATTAATGAGCACCAAACTCAACTTCAAACCCCTTGTTCTTCCGTATAAGCACAAATAAATAATAAATTTTCAACACAACACAATACAACAATTCAATCAATTTTAACAGCAGTAATAAACCTAAAATATAATTTCTACACAATAAAAGACTAAATCACTACAAAAGCGATAAAAGGGATAAAAGTCAATATACCGGAGCGAAACCCTAGGAGAGGCGTTTCGACCTTACCCACCCAATTTAAAAATTGGGATTTTTCCTGACCGTTGACTGAAAGTTGGCTGATTTTGACCAAGTCCACCAAGAGCTCCTGCTTGCTTATTAATTGCTAGCACCTTCACGTGAAATCAATTGCTAACTCCTATGCTCCAAAGTCAAGCCTCCACTTGAGTGAACACGGTCAACACCTCCAAAGCCAAATCCATGAAGTGAACTTCACGTGAAGCCAACTTGTTGTGTTCCACCTTTCTGCGACCAACAACGAAAGGACAACGACAAAACAGCCCCAGACTCCAATCACGATGAACGGCTCCAGCTCCTTGCGTCAATCCTGCGGCCAGACCTCTGCGATTAGCGTCCAAGCTACAAAAGTACAGGGGCCCACGCCCTTCGTCTCTATCCTCAGCGACCAGTAAACGTGGTCTGCTACAGCCTTCTGCGAGCAACGAGGAACACAGGGGTTGGCTTCGATTGACGGTTCCACCGGCGAACCAGCTCCGGCTCCAGCGGCGATCTCCACCCACGAACTCCGGAATCGAGGAACAGCAGGCGGATTTGGGCGGTTTCCAAGCGACGGCTTCAGCGACGAGATTCCAGGTCTCTCAGCTAGCCTCCTGCGACGGGATTCCAGATCCGGCCTCGAGCTCAGCAAACCACGGCGAGCTCTCTCTCTGGCGACGACTCCCAGGTGGACTCAGGCTTCAGCGGCGAAAGATTTCAGCGGCAAAGCAGTCGGCGAGCAACGACCTCTCTGGCGACGAAGGTGAACTCGATGGCGAGGACGAGTAGTGAGAAGACCTCCACTGTCTTCAATCAACAAGCTTTGGCTTCCCAGACCTCGAATCAACGGCGTACGGCGGCGGACGGCGGCGGACGGCGGTGGACGGCGGCGGACGGCGGTGGAGGGCAGAATCCGGCGAAAACGACGAAGAAGACAACACAAGCTCTGATACCACTGTTGAGGATCGATTCCGTCGCCGGATTCCGGCTCAGGCAGTCCGGAGCTCGGTTTCCGATTGTCTCTTGTGCACACCTAGTCTAAGGGAGCAACACACCTTTCTAACCTCGCCAACACTCACACTAACCTCACTAAGAAGGACTCTCACCTCACAAAGAAGGATAATAGCTTCACTCACCAAGAGGAAGATGAAGGGGGAAACACTCTGAGTTTCACACACAGAACAAAGGGGCAGTGAGTGTCCTTATAGCAGGGAAGCATTTGGCTTTATTAGAAGGGCTCTCAAATAATACACTGCACACACAGCTCACCAATAGCTCAACAAGAGCTGAATTATTTTCTAACGGGAGGGGAAAATACTGATTGGCCAGATAGATAAATGAGTACAGTGTAGTGGGCTGCTAGAAGGTGTGTTGACCATTATTAATATACAAAAAACGTTTGGGCCAACAATATATTAACAGTCGCAGGGGTAGAATCTTGGGTAGCATGAACGTTTTAATAGTAGAGTTGTCCATCTGGTTGCTTATGCTTCTGCTAAGCATCATTGAGTTGGTCCTCCGTCTTACAGCTTTTCGTGACGACCGCGAGGGATTTTTCAAATACGACCAATGGTATCCATTGGTCATCACGCTAATCGCGGCACTAGAAAGCATTCTGACCAAGTGTATTGAGGGCCGTGAGGATACCAGGAAATCACCCCAGATGAAGAAGATGGAAGCCCAGTTTAGTGAGCTTGTTGCTGGTGGAGATGCTCGACGATTCACCCCTGACTTCCTCATATTCCTACAGGGTGCTTTTGAAATTGTCCCGGAGCTTCGTGAAGCAGTGAGTGATTTTGTTGATAGAAGGGAGAGACAAGTTGAAATGGCAGCACAACCTCCCCCGGTGATGCCAGTGCAGGAGATGGTGCCTGTTGCAGCCGATGCCTCAAACTAGCTAGGGAGTTATGTTTCGATGATATTTCATTGTTGTTGTTTAGACTTCATTTAGATCGAGTTGATGTTAGTTTGTTGTTTTCCATCTCATCGGGTCGTGTTTAATTATATTAATGTTGTGTTATTTGAATATTCTAGCTAGAGTTGATGTTAGTTTGTTGTTTTCTATCTTTTCTGGTTGTACTTCCTAGGACAATGTTTAATTATATTAATGTTGTGTTATTTGAAATTCTGTTGCGTTATTCTGAATTATTGCATCATTCAAATATTCTTAGTATACTACTAATGGTTGACATGATACAAATATTGACATTAATTAACGTATATAATTAAACTGAAAAACGACAACGTATACCGAGGGATGCATTTAAAATATGGTTTTAGACTCTACGGATGTTTTCTTTTGGACTGTTTTCAGTCCCAGACCAGACCAGACCAAACCAGACTTAAACAGACCAGACCAGACCAGACCAGACCAGACTTGGACAGTTATAAAATACACCTTGACCAGACGTTTACCAGACCAGACCAGACCAGGTCAGACCTGACCAGCAAATTTCAGTCCAAAAGAAAACATCCTACTTCCATTCATGTCCTTTCCGGTTTACTGATATACTCCAAAGTGACTGTTTAACTTTTAATTATTTCCTTTCAATAATTCATTTATTTATTTGCTTGGTTACTCCGTATTTTACTTTTGTAAGTAGCGCCCCTCCCGAACCGCCACCGGGGCCTCCTCTGCAATATTTTTCTTTCAAGGTGGAAGATCTTGGATTGGAAGAATTGAGGGCGGGCAGTGGTGATCTCTTTTGGGCGAAAGAAGACGAAGAGATGTCGACTCATCCCCCTCCTGAACCGTCTCCATGGAGGAATTATGCGTCTAGGGTTTGGAAGTCTATTTCTATTTTTGTTTTAGTTTGTTTGTTTTTTTACTTCGATATTCATGTTGTTTTGGTTGTTCGGTACATTTATTTTTGTCAGACTCTTACATTAGGTGGAGGTGATGAAGGTATTGCTCTGGCCACGTTAGGCTCATTTAGACCCACTACAGGATCAGCGAATCATATTTCTCTATCTAAGGTGATTTTTTTTCAAACCCCAGTGTTCGACCAAGAAACCACTTGGTTTCTCGGGGTAGGGGCCAGGAAACACCCTACCTATTTATTAAAAAAGATGGAAAACATACAATGAGTAGGAGGACTAGACCAATGCCTACTCAGGATCAAACACATAGGGATAACTAACAACATCAAACTTTAAGATACCAACAAAATGATTGAAATGATGAGTCGTGGTATGAATAGAAATACTCCTATGAGCTATATATTCTGCTGCTCGATTGACCTTCGCCGCAACCATCGCTTCATACTCTCAGTGCCCTGTGAGCAGAGGTGCGGCTACTAATTCTTCGTTTCTCTATTCATCGTTCTCCAATCTATTCATCTAAAGACATGATCTTTTCTTTCTTTACTTAAATGATTAGCATTGTTGTAGTAAATCAAATCCAATATTTAGAATGCTAAATGATTATCAAGTATTTTGTCTTAATACCTTATTTGGTGTTGTTACTTACGGGAATAGTATACAATCCATCATGTTTAGTTGTGACGGTATAGCTTGATTTTCCTTCTTTCTGAAATGCTTAGTGAAATGGGATACATGACAAACAAACACTCCAATCCTCCAAGTACGCTAGGATTTACATATGTCTCCATAAATGTTACAAAATCCAATTAAGAAAGTAGACTACGGAAAAATAGAAAAGAATGTTTATTTGGATAAGTAAGGGTTACAAGACAATCAATACAAGCATTGAAACATGTGATTCCAATATTATTCCATTAAAGATTTTGAACAAGAAAAACAAAACATTAAGATGATGAAAACTAGGGGAAAAGACACATTATTCTATCTTAATATGGCTGCCATAATATCCTCTTTGAGTTTAATTCTCCTATTAACGCTTGATATTTTTTAAATTTAGTAGCATCTAATGCTCTCTTTCTAGCTCATTTTTTTATATGAAATATGAGTTTTTTCTTAACAATCCTTTCTAAAATATATGTGCAGATTTTTGTCTTTCTTTGTATCTTTTGTGTATATGAAATTATGAAATTTTAGTTTCATAAATTTAGAGGTACTGTTGTGGTCTAGCCTAAGGTAGACCACAACTCCAAGCTTCTTCTCTACCACTAAGGTATTCTCTCTCACACTCTCACACAAAGGAAATGGAGAAGAAGAAGAAGGGCACTGCTCTCTCTATAATTCACGCAGGCTAAAACTCACAGGAAGAGGCTTAGGCTTCTAATAATAGGATGCTGGCCATTTGACAACTCACGGGTAACACCAAGCCAAAAGGACAGGCTGTAGCAGACAACAGTAAGGGACCGGCCAAGTAGGAGAGTCTACAGTCAATGAATGGCCACAAACAGAAGAACTAAATAGGTATACCTTAGTGGGAGTAAACATGGGGTGCAAGTCAATAATAAAGTGGAAGGGAGGCCTTGGTAGGACCAATACCTCCAACATTCTCCACCTTATTGGTCCTAGGTGGTGTAGAGTAGCAATACAAAGTTGTGAGGAGACTCATCATCGCCGGATTATTACAAGTACATCATTGCGATCATACAAGTAATAGATGAGAACCAAAGTTCCCTTTCGGACCAAGCTTACCATGCAAACCCACTTCACGATGGACTGAACTCTACCAATCGGTCCTCGAGTTCAGAACCAAAACCATCACAAAACTATTAACAAGCACAACACATGTTAATAGACCACGCAAGCAAGCATCCGGGAGAAGTTGGGGATTCCAACTAATCCAACAACCACACATAACAAGCACAAAGAAAATAAAAGAAACAATATTATTTCTATAACTAGCACAGGTAGAGCTCACATAATCACTTGGTATCACATTTTCAAAACACAAAGAAAATAGCATACCAAATATCACAAAGATTTTAATTAAAAGAGAATTAAGCACATTTAAAGCAAACTCAGAGGAAATATAGTCAAACACATTGCACATATAATTTCTCACATGCTTCCTAATGTCTCTATCTCTAATAACATGGCAATCACGCAACTCAAGCATATTGCACACAACATTCATATCATGCTCCACCTTAACAGAAATATTATTTTCTTTATTTTCACCATGAAAATCATTTTCATCCACGAATTTGGGTGCGGTTTCAACAAGTAAATCAGAATGAACATCAGACAAATGCTCCACCTCATTTGGAGCAACATCAGGAGAAACAAGCAGGCAAGGAAATTCATTTTCAACAAAAATGACATTTCTACTCATCAACACATTGAAGCAAGTTTCACTCCTACGCCAAAGCCTATAACCTTTCATGCAATCATGATATCCTAAGAAAACATATTCCTTAGTCCTAGGTTCAGATTTATCATTCACACGATTCACGTAAGCAGCACAACCAAACACTCTCAAATTTGGCAAGTTAAGTGGTTTGCCCGTGAACACAGATTCAGGGCATTTCCCTCCTAAGGGAACAGACGGGGACAGATTAACCACATCAACAGCATAACAAATAGCTTCCCCCCAGAACTTATTAGAGAGCCCAGATGAAGCTAACATAGCCCTCACCCTCTCTAATAAAGTTCTAACCATCCTCTCAGCAACCCCATCCGGTTGGGGTGTGGAGGGAACTGATTTATGCATAGAAATACCCCAAGTATCACATAAATCACCAAGCTGACTATCACAGAAATCAAAACTGACTGTGGTCCTTAAAAAATTAATTTTCTTACCGGTTTGTTTTTCAACAAGGGTTTTCCAGTTTTTAAACTTATCAAAAACTTCAGATTTATTTTCAATCAACAAAACCCACACTTTCTTTGAAAAATCATCAATCAACGTCAGAAAATAATTTTTACCACCATGAGTGGAAACACTATAAGGACCCCACAAGTCAGCATGAATACAATCAAGCACATTAGTACACTTAGGCAGATCAGGAAAACCAACTCTAGACTGTTTTCCTAGCACACAGGGTTGCACACAATTCACAGAATCAAGTAGGGGTTCAGCATGACAAACATACAAGTTGTTTTTCATCTCAGCTTTGAAAACAACTAAACAACCCTTCACAACTTTCATGATTCCCTTTCCCCATTTTCCCTTCAAACCCTCATTTTCAAGAGAAGCACAAGATAGCAAATTACAGCATAGCTCAGGAACATGCCTAACATTCTTCAAAGTAAGCGCATAACCAGAAGAAAACCTAAGGCATACATCTCCTATTCCTAGCACATTGCATTTCTTCTCATTTGCTAAAGACACAAAGCCATGCTCAATCTCTCTATAGTTTGAAAAAGCATTTTTCAAAGGGGACATATGAAAAGTACAACCAGAATCTACCACCCAATCTGATTTACCCAAAGAATCAGATATCACAGAACTCAAATAGTCATAATCACATAGATTTTTCATCATAAAAACATCACCTAAATCATCTTCACACGTAGTCAAATTAGCATGCTCACTATGCTCATTTTTCCTAGATTTAGGACAGTCTCTTATGAAATGACCAGATTCGTGACAATAATAGCAACGCCTCGAATTAGACCTAGACTTAGATCTATGTCGTCTACTATTATTTTCTCTACCCCTCACATGCATAACTTCCTCGGATTTTCTACCCTCACCCATCTGTTTTAAATCTAATTCCTTACTCTTAAGACCATTTACCACAATGTCAAGAGTCACATTATCTCTACCATACTTAATAGCAGATTTCACATCACTAAAGGAATCAGGAATAGCATTTAAAAGAGCAATAGGGGAATAATCATCTATATGTTTATCACCACAATACTTAATATCTGAAATAAGTTTGGTAAAAACATCTAGATTTTCTTCAATATCTATAGACATATCTAGTCTAAATTTGAAGAATTTCTCAAGTAAAAATATCTGGTTAGGCAAAGAGGTTTCGGTATACAGTTCATCTAATTTATTCCACAGAATTTTAGCACTCTCTAAAATTCCAACTTTTCTAATCACAGAGTCAGATAAGTTCAAATAAATCACAGAACATGCATTTTCATTCATTTCAGCCCTTTTCTCTTCTGTGTCAGAAATTAAATAGGTTTCGCCAACTGCTTTAAAACATTTTTGTTGTATTAAAATACATTTAATTTTTTGCTTCCAAATGCTAAAATCAGATTTTCCATTAAATGGAGCCATACCATACTGATTATAAGCAGACATTTTCACAGAGAAAAATAAGCAACAAAAGAAAAAGTAAATTTCGCTGAAAAACAATTTAAATATTTATAAGGCTACAACTATACGGAGCAACTAGCACAAACACGTGGGGAGTATTAATGAGCACCAAACTCAATTTCAAACCCCTTGTTCTTCCGTATAAGCACAAATAAATAATAAATTTTCAGCACAAAACAACACAACAATTCAATCAATTTAAAAGCAGTAATAAACCTAAAACATAATTTCTACACAATAAAAGATTAAATCACTACAAAAGCGATAAAAAGGGATAAAAGTCAATATACCGGAGCGAAACCCGAGGAGAGGCGTTTCGACCTTACCCACCCAATTTTAAAAAAAAATTGGGATTTTTCGGACTGTTGACTGCCTTTGACCGAGATTTGACCAGCTTTGACCGAGTTTGACCTAGATTTGACCGAGTTTGACCTGCTTCCAGCTTCCTCCAATGAAGCGGCAGTGTCCAGCCTCCAGGTCACGTCCAGCAGTTGCAGCCCAGCCCAATTCTTGAAGTCCAGCAGCTGTGCAGTGTTGACTTCAACGTTTGGCCACCAAGTTTGAGTGTCGCGTGCTGCTACAAGAACAAGAGTTCCGTCCCAGGCCAGGTCTTCAGCTCAAATCCAGCTCTAGTCCAGCCCAACAAAGTTGCAGCCCAAAATCCAGCGTATGTGTTCTTTACGCTTTCACGTGTCTCGCCTCAAGCCAAGCGACCAACGCGCAAGGACAGAAACAAACCTCCGCCCTGCGCCCTTTCTCTTCTTGCTACCAACGAGCTCTGACTCAGCGATGTTGACGGCTAGGAACGGAATCAATGGCGAACAGGACAACCTCCGTGACGGGCAGCGACTCCCAGGTGAGGATGAATACTTGAACAGTAAACTTCGGCGGCGGCAGCTCTCACGTAAACGACGGCTCCAGCGGCGACGGCCTACAAGCTCCGGAATCGACAAACGACTCCCTCCAGACGACGGCTCCAGTGGCTCTCGCGGCGACTTCAGGTGACAGCTTTCAGGCCGACGGCGGCTCCAATGGACAGATGGCCGACGGCGGAACTTCCTGGTGACGACGCAAAGTGAACTTGACGGAAAACGATCACAGAACTCCGTTGGCACCACAATCGATGAGCAACGGCTTTCGAGACTCTGATTGACTAGCTCCAACAGCTCCAATCAATGGCGGATGGTGGACGGCGGCGGACGGTCGGCAGTGGACGGCGGCGGAAGGCGGAATCCGGCGGAATCCGGCGAAATCGACGGCGACGACAACACAAGCTCTGATACCACTGTTGGGTGTCGATTTCTTTCCGGCTCAGGTCTCCAACCCTTTTGCTATACTCTCACACACCACCCTAGGCTAGACCACAACACAACTCCAAGCTTCTTCTCTACCACTAAGGTATTCTCTCTCACACTCTCACACAAAGGAAATGGAGAAGAAGAAGAAGGGCACTGCTCTCTCTATAATTCACGCAGGCTAAAACTCACAGGAAGAGGCTTAGGCTTCTAATAATAGGATGCTGGCCATTTGACAACTCACGGGTAACACCAAGCCAAAAGGACAGGGCTGTAGCAGACAACAGTAAGGGACCGGCCAAGTAGGAGAGTCTACAGTCAATGAATGGCCACAAACAGAAGAATTAAATAGGTATACCTTAGTGGGAGTAAACATGGGGTGCAAGTCAATAATAAAGTGGAAGGGAGGCCTTGGTAGGACCAATACCTCCAACAGGTACCTCTCCTTTTTCAATTCTTATGACTTCAAGTAGCGTTCTGTAACAGATCTGTGCAATCTCATTTTCCCTTTCTGTATGTTCTCTCATTCAGTTCCAGAAAAATAAGAAAATGATCAAAGGAGAAGAAATGCATCTTCTATTTTTAGTACCATTTATGTGCTCAAGAATCTTGGCCCATGTATACAAAAACAAAGAGATGACCGTTTTCTAACCAATTTGGTTTGGTTACTGCCTATCTGACTGTTCCCTTTATTTCTTTAATAAAAAGCATTTTTAATCTGTATCTTTTTCATATGCCTATTTTGTTTGAACTGATTGGTTAGTTGATTTCTTTATCAAAAAGCTTCTTTCATCTGTTGCCTAGATATAAACACGAATAAGAAAGTAGGCCTCATCTGTCCCAGCGATTTCAACATTGTTTTCACACAAGAAGGCCTTTGCTGCTTGCACAAGAAAAAAATGGTGATGCTAAAAAATATTGCAGAGGAGGCCCCGGTGGCGGTTCGGGAGGGGCGCTACTTACAAAAGTAAAATACGGAGTAACCAAGCAAATAAATAAATGAATTATTGAAAGGAAATAATTAAAAGTTAAACAGTCACTTTGGAGTATATCAGTAAACCGGAAAGGACATGAATGGAAGTAGGATGTTTTCTTTTGGACTGAAATTTGCTGGTCAGGTCTGACCTGGTCTGGTCTGGTCTGGTAAACGTCTGGTCAAGGTGTATTTTATAACTGTCCAAGTCTGGTCTGGTCTGGTCTGGTCTGGTTTGTTTAAGTCTGGTTTGGTCTGGTCTGGTCTGGGACTGAAAACAGTCCAAAAGAAAACATCCGTAGAGTCTAAAACCATATTTTAAATGCATCCCTCGGTATACGTTGTCGTTTTTCAGTTTAATTATATACGTTAATTAATGTCAATATTTGTATCATGTCAACCATTAGTAGTATACTAAGAATATTTGAATGATGCAATAATTCAGAATAACGCAACAGAATTTCAAATAACACAACATTAATATAATTAAACATTGTCCTAGGAAGTACAACCAGAAAAGATAGAAAACAACAAACTAACATCAACTCTAGCTAGAATATTCAAATAACACGACATTAATATAATTAAACACGACCCGATGAGATGGAAAACAACAAACTAACATCAACTCGATCTAAATGAAGTCTAAACAACAACAATGAAATATCATCGAAACATAACTCCCTAGCTAGTTTGAGGCATCGGCTGCAACAGGCACCATCTCCTGCACTGGCATCACCGGGGGAGGTTGTGCTGCCATTTCAACTTGTCTCTCCCTTCTATCAACAAAATCACTCACTGCTTCACGAAGCTCCGGGACAATTTCAAAAGCACCCTGTAGGAATATGAGGAAGTCAGGGGTGAATCGTCGAGCATCTCCACCAGCAACAAGCTCACTAAACTGGGCTTCCATCTTCTTCATCTGGGGTGATTTCCTGGTATCCTCACGGCCCTCAATACACTTGGTCAGAATGCTTTCTAGTGCCGCGATTAGCGTGATGACCAATGGATACCATTGGTCGTATTTGAAAAATCCCTCGCGGTCGTCACGAAAAGCTGTAAGACGGAGGACCAACTCAATGATGCTTAGCAGAAGCATAAGCAACCAGATGGACAACTCTACTATTAAAACGTTCATGCTACCCAAGATTCTACCCCTGCGACGAAAATAAATTCTCCCGCCCCAGTAAACACACCCTATAGCATTCAGAGCAATGTGGGCTACGATCACATACTTACGCCCGGTATGTAGGCTCATGGCATCATAAGCAGATGCCAGTCCCCATACAATGCCCCAGGTTGTTAAGAGAAAAGTGTTCTTGTTCATAACATCCTCCCATTTCAACGCACACGCAGCAAAAAAGCCCAACAGAAATAAACAGGTTGTTAGGACAAAGGCTACAGTAGGAAAATCATCACCACTCTTAGTCTTTCCACTCATGTTTCAAATAAAAAATTAGAAGATGAAAGAATATACGTTACGGAGTAGATGAGATGAAATGAGAAAATCAGGCCTCATTATAAAGGAAAAGGAACAAGGTCCTCTTACCGTTGGACAACAGAGTGCACCATTTGTGGACGTTCCTCTGAGTACTTTCGATTGAAAGGCTCAAGGATAGCAGTAGTAATTCACTTCCCATCTTCTTTCCTTCCATGGCCGAAAACAGTAGCGTTTCCATCCCTCTCTCCTAAGTCTGCAACGAAGGGTGTAGACTCTTTGACAAATAAATGTAAGATGGACTGCCGCCTACTGCCTAGTGTGCAGTTGGGTAGATAGGACTCTCTTATACTAAGTATGTAGAGAGGAGAGTTTAAAATTACGGTATAGTAACCAACAGCTATTACAATCCTGGTTTTATGACTCTCTTTTTTTTGGATTAATTGTCATAATGCTGGTGCTATTAAAATTACGGAGTACTACGTATGTTATACGGAGTATTGAGGATCTCTTTTTTTTTTTAATCTTATTTTTAATTTATTTAGATCAGAACAAAAATAATTCTTATCAGATTTAACTAGTTCAGAAAAACTGATATCAGATCAAATTGACTCATATGAAATACATCTAGATTAAATCGGAAACATTCAGATCAGATAAAAAAGTTCACACCTGATTTTTTTACTTATAGTATTATTAATATTGTTGTTATCAATTTATGAGCCCGTTTGGCAACACTGTTTTTCGGCTAATCAACCAACTTTTTCACTAAACACATAATTTTTGCTTTCGTGCGCTGAATTGTGTAATAAGTAGAAAAAGTAAGGTTGAAGTTACTTTTCTGGCGGTATTGG